GGAAAGTAAAACAAGTCTGAGGACATTTCATTTATAACATCTACATATAACAGTACACAATAAATCCATTTTCAAAATTTAAATGTTTCATTTCATAATATACTCTAGTATGTGTATATATAAATATAAGGGATTGTGTTGTGCGACACGCATATACGCCAAAAATTTCTACATAAATTCAATTTGTTTTTTATATCGAAGAATAATTTTTGTGAATATTTCTCCATTTCTCATCTAAAAACGTATCGTAAAATTTAAAATGTGCTTTCAGTAGTAATTTTTATAATTTAAACACTATACATAGGTTGATTATATTGTACATATTCTCGTACAATAATTAATGAATTTTGGAAATTAATTAAAGTAAAATAATTTGTTCATATACTAATTAAATTTTATAAATTTAAGTTAGCAAATTAAATTTAAAAACTTCCGAATTGAGTACAAATTAGAAAGTATATATAATTGCTATAGCTCTTTAATACAGAATTTTAAGTTAAAACTCCCAATTTCAAAAGAAGTATATACAGAAATTCAAATGGGAGACGAGCTGTAGAATGGGAGAATGGGAGATGAGGTGTAGAATTAAAATTAAGGAGTACGGAGTTTCATATTATAATTGCAATTCTAATAAAAAATACTTAAATTTGTGTCTAGGCTCTATATGGTTTTCTTCCGCTTTTATTCTACCAAAACATTTTCAATACGTTTTTATTTCTAATAAATAAAGTCAACACTCTAGTGTCACACTTGCCATTAATCTACATATATACGTTATACACATGTAATATTGCGTTTTAAATTATGTACAATTTTAATAATAATGATATTTCTCCATAATGCATAATTACATATATACATACGTATGTGTATAAGTACTTTCCAAAATGTATTTTTTAATCATAACTGTATAATAAGTAATAAAATATAAAAAAAAACGAACATTTTAATAAATTTCTTTAAAAAGTCGTGCACACACGAAGTTTGCTACTTCGTATACGCATATGCTTGTATGCATATATGTATATACAATTTTAAAATATTAAAATTTAATTTTCCTAAAATATTCGTACCAAACATGTAAAAAAATTTCTTCATGTTAAAAGTTCTTATCTTACAAATTTTAAACGACAATTTTTTTTTTCATTTCTAATTAAATTTAACTGTACCATAGCGTTTCATATTTTAATTGCGAATATCGTTCCTACATAAATAAGTACATACGTACAACGAAATACTTGTATTCTGATTTCAATCTTTTCAAATATTCTCTTAACATCTTCACCATAAATGTGTGTGGGTGACGAACATTTTAAAAATTAAAATATGAAAAAAAAATTTTCACGATTTTTTTCAAATTAAATTTTATGGTAGCGTGTTTTTTGTAATAACTGCAAAAGGGAAAAATGTGCACATTTTAAATTGTTTCAAAACGTTATACGATAATGTTATGTTTTTTGCCACAAGTATAATAAAAATTTTTTGGGAATATTCAAAATGAATTAAACTTGCATAGTCATAGCATCATACGATAATGTTGAAATTTTTGTCTTCAGTAGATCTAATTGGTTTTCATTAGACGCAAAATAGGCCGCAATTCTAAAATTTACAAATTAATAACAAATTAAATTAGATCAAGATTTAAACTTTTACATGAATACATATGTATGTATTTAGAACTTCAAATATAAAACCTTCTGCATTCTGTTTCAGTAAATTTTGTTCTTTCATTACAATTAAATAAATCAGTCCTTCAGAGCTCACAGCCCTTTGTGTTACATCCCTTCTGTCGACTCCGATTTTAACATTCCTTTTACCTTTACAAATAACTCTTTTTCATCCATTTTGTTATTAATTTTATCATTTTAATTTATTTCTAATTCTTTCTATATGTTTCAATTCATAATGTTACTCTGATTGAACTAAAAAATTGTTTGACTGGTAATATTTATTCCGATTTGAACTGACAGCTATGTATCTTTAATTTTCATCAAATAGTCCCGACTCAGAGCTAGATTTTTCAAAATTTTTGCATTTTTTGTTTGTTTACGAAAATATTACCCCTGAGTTCAAATCCAAATTTTACCATTTTTAAACAATAAAAAATTTTTTTTTTGTATTTGAATTTTTTTTAGTGAAAAAATTTTAAAATAATTGAAAATTTAAAAATTTTGATTAAATACTTCAGAAATTTTTAATTAAATCAGAAATATTTTTAAATTCAACCATAATAAAAAAATTGTAATTAAATGAAGAATTTTAAATTGCAAAAAAATTAGTTTTAAATAGAACGAAGTTTTTATTAGATAAAACGAATTATTTAATCTAGGAATGAAAAATCTCAAGGCATAATGATAATGAATTATTGTGGTTTGCAAAATAATAATTAGAAGATATGAAAATTCCTAATAGCATTACAATTTTAATAAGAACATTTAAGATCGCTGTCCATATCGGCAGGTGAGATTGGATAAAGGCAAATTCAAGAGGAAATTTTTTATCAAATTTAATAAAAAATTTGGTTAATAAATTTTCTTTCATAGCATATTAGAAAAAAATACTTTTTAATAGCTGGCATATTGTTATCGCTGACTTAAAAATTTTAAATAACAAAAAATTTAATAATAATTGAACTGGTTTTTTTGAAAGTGGTATAAGTCCACTTGTTAAAAAAGCTAAGTTAATGGTAATTTTAGTGAGTTATAGACAACTTCTCTCCACTATTTACAATCAAAATTTCAACAGAGTTCTATGTAGACATAAAACTAACAAATTATGTTATTGTGGCCAGAATTTTTAAATTGATTCAAACGCAAGCCCATAAATATCTGAATATACAAAGAAATGGACTTATACAACTTTCAAAAAAACCAGTTCAATATGCAATTTCTAGTTTTTGTATGGTTGCCAGAATTACCTTAAAATATAGTCCATACAACAATTGTACACGTACATATTGTTGAATTGGGCAGGAAAATATGAATGAATAGGCAATAATTCAGTTTAATTTAAAGGATTTTCAAGAAAATATAGGGTTAAGGCTTGAATCAATGTGTAAAGTAGTACGGTTAATCAACTTAAAAAATTATAATACACTTATTTATACGTTTAATTTAATAGTGAATTAGAATAAATTGAATACACATATATTTGATCTTTCATAATCAACTCTTTAATAAAATAATCTTCTTCCTTAAAGAAAACAATTTTAATATCATAATTTGACTTCTCGTAACAGAAAATAACAAAAATATTATTAATTTTATTGAAACAGATCGAAGGCAATAATAGAGTGTCGTGAGAGTTTATTCGAAACAGTTCAAAATAAACTACAAACTGCTTCGCAGCCATCTAAACTAGTTTAATAAATTTACTTAAATATACATAGCCATTTCTGTTAATTTGAAACAAATCAGCCGAAAATCTCTGCTTGATAACAAAAAAAAGTTAGGTCAAACCAACAGGTGAAAATTCTGCTTTTAAAAACAATCTAGCGATGAACTACATTATTAAAATTACTTTCACTATATTCCTATATATTTGATATTATTTCGTATTTTCGATAAAATATATTCTTAAATTATTTCAAAAATCCATACCTTTAGTATGAGCAATGTATTTAAAAAAAAATAATTATACTTTTTAATGGCACGGCATTTACCGTTAGCTTTCTGTATTTGTAGAAATTTGGAAAAGCTTACAGTTTCGGAAATATAAGCTACCAAAAATTCTAATTTTATAATTTTCAAAAGGCAGTAACTTTAGAAGGGGTGAAGATGGGAAAAAGTTTTCTTCTAACGGAATGAACTATTTATTAGTGTCCTCTTATCAATAGGCCATACTTATATACTCGTATTTTGAGTTCTTTTTATTTCAATTCTGCTCAAATTTAAAAAGAGTTCGATGAGGTTTTTAACATAACACGAAGGCATTTCATTCATTTATAAATATTTCGCAACATAAAAACTCATCGAACAGTCATTTAGCTAATTTATTTTCACCAATAATTTTTTTCATATTTCATTAATTAATTTTTCAAATATGCAAAACAATTTCTAATTAGATCATGTTCATGATTTCTAATGTCATAAGGAAAATCAATAAAACTAGAATTGATTAAAAAAAAATTATGATTGCATAGCATTTTCTATGTTAATTTCTAAATCAGTGTAACCAACTAAATGTTAAACTGTGAGCATTATTCGATACGAATATACTACATATGCCTGCATACAAAATATGTACATATATATGTACATCATAATTATATTGATACATTCATAACTTGCTCATAATAACGTGAAATAAATTCATCACATTCGTACGCCTACTGCATTATTCGACCAAACTCTAACATGAATTTTTAATTTTATTTTTGCTATTTTGCGGATTACTTTTAACAGATTATAGAAAAAACCGTTTATTTCGAGTTCAGTTCAATATACAAACATTTATATGGACATTCATGCATATATATATATATATACGTATATCTGCACTTCTACATAATTTGTGCATAAACATACATACATACATATGTGAATAGATAAATCCAAAAATAAGAATCTTGATAAAAATGAGCACATAAATTTAAAATACAAAATGTTCGTTCACAAACTTGTTTAAAATTCAATTCAAAATTGCTTGCATACACATATACATGCGTCATAAATTTGTACATATGGACATAGGTAGTATATATGTACATACATATATGCAATAATACGTTACTTATTTCCATTTACATATTATGTAAGTATCTATGTGCATATTGCGATTAAATCTTGAAGAAATTTTAATTTTAAGTAACATTTTTACAATTAATTCCATAAGCATCTCCAATGCAATGACATATTAAGTTAGGAAACTGCATCTTCGTACAAAATGCATTAAAAAAAAAAACGAAAAAAGAAATATGTATGTACATATAAAATTGGAATCCAAAGTAAATCGCTTTAATTTATTTTCTTTAAATTTTTAAAATTTATTTGAAAATTCAGCACCGGTGATAATTACGTACAAAGATGTAGTGGAAATGGATGTTTGGATATGTGTATATGTATAAAAAGAAATGATGATATTGTACTTGTTGCTGGTTTTGGTACAGTTTTCTAAAAAAATTTTGAATTAAAGAGAATTGTAAAATAAAAAGCACGAATCACTTTAAACACACAAATTTTTTTCTAAAGTACAGCATAAAATTGATCCAAGAAAAAAATCTGATAAGTTTAGCACAAGTTCACCAAACACCAGACCGCATATCCTAAAAAAATACGTGGATAAATTGTACAAACGTGTTAAGTGAATAGGTTGTACAAGAATATCCAAAATAGCTCAGTAAAGGTCCAAATGCTTTAACCAAATATTTCCCGAAATTTTCAAATTAAAGTATAGAAATTTGCTTGAAAAATCTTCCTGGACTTTAATTGCAACAGAGTATACAGATATATTTTTTTTTATATTGGACAACTTAAATTTTTGCCTACATAACAATACCTCCCTTATTATGTACAACGCAGTAAAAGAAAATGTTATGTAGAATATAATACACCAAGTATTGTATCTACCTACCTACTTGGTTTCATTTGTGAAGAAAATGCAATAGAAAATCTTGAGTGGTATTTAAAGTGCGAATATGAATGATTTTGTTAATTATTTTACAAGTAAGTGCGATAAGGTTTTGGAAATGGAAAATATTTGTACATATGAATTTACTTATTCTAAGATTTCATTGAAAAATTTTTTGTGTTATATACATACTATATGAAAAAATGGAATGAAATGCTGAATAAATGAATTTTATCACATTCTTGAGGAAACTTATTATGAAAATCAATGAATTTCAAAATGGAAAACGAATTTTTCACCCAAAAAATAATAGAGTTGGTATTAATTAAACAAATCTAACAAAATTTGATTTTCAAGGTACTCGTATAGGTACAAATTGGCATTCATTGAACTGAATGATGCTGTATGGACGCCAAAATATTTGATGTTTAAGATAGAATGAATACATTATATAAAATCCTCACCAGTCCATTATGGAGCATTAAAATTTTTTTATGACTGACAGTTCTTCCACGAAAATTTTAATTTGTTTTATGTATAAGAGACGATAATGCGCACATATGTATGTATGTATACATATAAATCCATGGGTATAAATTTTTGCACAAATGATTTAAATTAAAGAATAAAATGTTTTATCGACCTTCCGCAAATTTCAAAATCTATTCTGCTTTTGTTCATATTTATATTAAAGTTGGGTACGAGAATAATAGTACCATGTAGCCGTAGCTACATATATATGTGTGCGCGTTTATATATTCCTGTTATACTTTAGGTATCATCATATTTTTTACAGGAAAAATTTTTCTTTCTTATAACAGGAAATTGAATTTAATTCAATATAATAGTAATTACATTGAAATATGCTACCATCAATAATTCACACATCCTTCATCCTTATTATTATATTGACGTATGCATGTACAATATGTATGCATGTGCATATTTGATTCTATTATTCTGTGTTCCGTAAAATTTATCTACATAGGTGTTTTGTACAGTTATGTGCATACATACCTACATACATATGTATGTAATCTTATCCGGTTTCAGGAACGAATCCAATTTTATTTTGAAGTTTTTCGTAAATTGCACACTCAGAAATGATGCTCTTTTTGCTATAAGCAAATGTCTAAAAAATTTAAAAAATTTATTAAAATTAATTGAAAATAAAATTACTTATGTAGTTTTAATTTACAGATTTATTAGAAATTCTAATTGGAAGAACAAATAATTTCAGTTTTTAGAAATTCTGATTTGAATTTTTTGATAGCTTGAAAATAATTCCATTATAACGGTGATTTTCCCTTTATTCAAGATTCAGCCGAATTATTGTATTTAAAAGCGTTTAAAACTTTAAAAGGCAAATATACAAAACTCTTCTCAGGTAGTATACTTAGAATCCTATGTTTGTATGTAGGAATAAAAAGGAAGTTAACATTGTTTAACCGCGCACTTACTTAACTTGATTAAAATTCAGAATACTCCGACTGATTGACATTTTATATTAGTCCATTTTGTTTTAGTCCAGAGTTGCCCCTCTTGAATAATATTAATTATTATGTCATTGACATTTTTTTTACTTCAACATGTTTATTTATTCTAAATTTAGTGGGACGTGCGATCAACTAGTGTGATTTCACAACGTAAAATTTTTGACAGATTTTTAGCGTGAAGTTCTATAAGGTTCAAACACCCTTAACAATATTTGGAGTTTCCAAAAAAAAAAGACGGTGAGATAAACCAGATTTTAGTGCGAAGATTTTTGTAATCAAATTTTATATAAAAAATTTTTGAAAAAGCAAAAAATTAAAGTTTTCTTAAAAATTTATAAAATCGTCCAAACGCGATTAATTACGAAAAAAAATGGGTTGTAGACCCAAAATAATTTTGAACAAGAAAAATGAGCCACAATTGACCAAAGTGGTAACACTGGTCGAATCTAAATAAAAAGCGTCATTTTTATTTTACATTTCCATAGCACCACTTGATCGTGAATTGCAAAAATAGGTTTGTGTCAACAATTAAAGTTGTTTGTGTGAAATAGTTCATATAATTCATATTCATATTAGGTGTGTCAGACGAGTGTCTGTTATAAAACTTGAAAAAACTTTAAAAAGAGAAACAATGACGTAATTTCTCGCAAAATAAAAAAAAAAATCTCACTTAAAAAACAAAAAACCAGACAACTTAAAAAAACTTTTAAAAACTTTATAAATTTGGGATAAACGTCAAATTTCAAAGAATATATCAATCATAAACGAATATTTTTTGGTTATACCAAAAACCGAAAATTTTGATTTTGGATTATAAAAGTATGGAACTTGAAAAAAACCATTTGTGAATTCATTTTGTTTATTTTATTTCTAATTAAAAAGTTTTAAAAAAAAATTATTATTGATGAAAAAATTTTTTGTTTTTCAAAAATAAAACCTTTTTCCGTAACCAAGAAAAACATATATTTCGATAGCTGTGAGATTTTAAAAGTTTTAAAAACATTACACTTTGCAAAACTTGGTAAAACTTTAAACATTGAGAAAATAACAACGTCATCATTTTCTATCATTTCTGCTCAAAATGTATCCCAGGCGCTTTGCATGCAAAAACTTTTAAAAGTTTTTAAAAAGTTTCAAACAGAAAAATTTCTCTTTGGTAGCGTTTCCTCATCGACAAATTTTTAACAATTTTGCTCGTTTGGATGGAAATCTGATAAAAATTTGACTTGTCAACGTCCAAAAAAGTCTAGCAAAATCGAACGAGAAAAATAAAATCTTTTCAAATTCTTGTCAAACTTTTTTTGACAGAAATAAAAAAATAAAATTGCAAGAATAAATTTTTCACATTATGTGCGTTATGATCAGCTGTTTATTGTGGCCAGCAAAGTTTAGAATGTATTTAATTTTAAATTATATATTTTTACTTTGACTTAAATTATTTATTCTTACTTAAATTTATTTTATATTACTTATTTTTTGCTTATTTTTTCTTTGTAAACAAATCACTCACATCTATATGTAAATATACCTCGTTATGAATACTTTTGTATTATAAATTAAAATAATTTGACAACATATTTGATCAAACAAAGTTTGATACACATATAAATAGAATTTCTTATCCAATTTTATAATTGTCAAGTTTAATCGTCCAACTCTGCTTGGTGTGTGAATGATAACTTTTCCATCTTTTTAGCAATAAATTGCCACCAGTTAATTTTATTTACATGGTCAAACTATACATGTGTAGCTGTAGCTGTAGCCAAAACTGACCACAACTACACTACCTTGAAGTTCGAACTCGAACAAAAAATTTATAAATCTGAGCATAAAAAGTGTAAAACAGTTTTTCAGCTAGCGGATTATTTTGCACACTTACTTTAATATCTAAATTTAGAAAAAGAATTATAAGCAAGATATTAATATCTGAATTATAAAAATTATAACAAAATTATTAATATCTGTTTAAAGTGCGCGTATTAATCATAATGAATTATTTTATTTTATAAAAAGTATATTCAGTTTTTTTAACATAAAACTCTAAGAAAATCTATTAAAGTGCCATATCGATAAATTGTGAATATGTGTTTTAAATGTGTGATTGGAGTAAGAAATTTGTTTTTAGTACATTTCTAGGAAAACTGTAAAAAAATATGCTTACTATGATTTCATACTACCTGTCTGTTCGTGCGTCAGTGTCAGTCTATGAAAATTTATTTAAAAATTCTATTCATAGTTTTCGTTAAACACATTTCTTTTAATCACATTAGACAAAAAAAAAAATTTGTCCACCGATCCTGCTCGAAAACTATGTACAGAAACAAAGAGTCAGTAAATTTTTTGGAAATATCAGGGATCGGAAATCAAAGTTTAAAACTTGGATCGATTTTATATTTTTTCACCATATCTGAAGAAATAGCTGATAAGATCTTTTAAAATTTAATATTGAAATTACGGTAGTCACTGAAATTAATTGGGAAGCTATGCAACAAATGGATCCTAGAATTTACAATTTTTAATTAAATGGCTACTTGCTACCTTTTTATACCTCATAGAACTTAAGGTAAGTGTATATTATTAAAAATCAGAGTTTTTCAATTGTATGTATGTATTTTAAATTATTTAAGGAATATCTGCTTGTTAACAAGCCATTGCTTCAATCATAATTACATATGTATGTATATTTTTTAAAATGATATCTGCTTGCATAAATTTTATTATAAAAAATTATAAATTTAATGTGTTTTCGAATTCTAAATGCATAATACGAGTTTGTGTGATTGTGTATAAATACATTTGGCGATGTATTTTCTTTGAAAATATTTTAAAATATGTATGCATACAGCATGTACATAATATGTACATACATATGTACATATGTTGTTATATACACAGATATTATAATTTTATTATGTTTTGAAATGAGAGAGTGTAGAATATAAAAAATAAAATAAATCTATAAGACTCTTTAATAAAGCAGATGAAAAATTAATTTCCTGCTAAAGCAAATATTATAAAAATAAAACTCTTTAATGGG